GTCGATGCGACACTTGCACGGCGAGGGCAAGCGATGGGTTGGGGCTCTCGGATCGAGATGGGCCCAACTCGTTTTTTCAAGTTGGGCCTGGGTTCACAATTGCTGCGGATTCACTACTCCCTTTCCCATGCAAAGCGACATCCAGCTAGCTCATTCTCGCCGAGAAAGCAAGCTAGTTCTGCTAGCTGCCCCACCGCATAGAAACTTAGTGCCGAGGAGCTGTGAGAGAGAATGTGGCGCTGTGGGGGAGAGAGAGAGAGAGAGAGAGAGAGAGAGAGAGAGAGAGAGAGAGAGAGAGAGAGAGAGAGAGAGAGAGAGAGAGAGAGAGAGAGGGAGAGACGCGGCTAGAGAGGGAGAGACACGGCAAGAAAGGGTGAAACGCGGCGAGAGAGGGAGAGACGCGGCAAGAGAGGGAGGGACGCGGCGAGAGAGGGAGAGATGCGGCAAGAGAGGGAGAGAAGCGGTGAGAGAGGGAGAGACGGGGCGAGAGAGGGAGAGACGCGGCGAGAGAGGGAGAGACGCGGCGAGAGAGGGAGAGACGCGGCAAGAGAGGGAGAGACGCGGCATGAGAGCCAAAGACGCTGCGAGAGAGGGAGAGATGCGGCGAGTCTGGGAGAGACTTGGCGTGAGAGGGAGAGACGCAGCGTGAGCGGGAGAGACTCAGTTAGAAGGAGAGTGGTGCGGATAGATAGAGAGAGGCGGAGGTGCGAAGCGGGAGAGAGTGGCGCAGCGGGAGAGAGAGAGAGAGGAGGAGCGACTCGCGGGAGAGAAAGAGGAGCGCCACGCTCGCTCGCCCATCACTCACCTCTCGCCATGCCACTCCCTTCCCGCTGCGCCACATTCGCTCGCCCGTCACCCACCTCTCGCCATGCCACTCCCTTCCCGTCACGCCAAATTCGCTCGCCCGTCACTCACCTCTTGCCATGCCACTCTCTTCCTGTCGCACCACACTCGCTCGCCCGTCACTCACCTCTCGCCATGCCACGCCCTTCCCGCCGCGCCACACTCGCTCGCCCGTCACTCACCACTCGCCATGCCACTCCCTTCCCGCCTCGCCACACTTGCTCGCCTGCAACGCACATCTCGCCATGCCACTCCCTTCCCGCCACGCCATACTCGCTCGCACGTCACCCACCTCTTGCCATGCCACTCCCTTCCCTCCCCGCCACACTCTCTCGTCCGTGGCTCCCGCCATAAGCGCCTCTCCGTGTCTCCACCTATCTCCCTCTCTCTGCATAGCGCCCCATGTATGATCATATGCCATCAATTTTTGCATTCCCTCTCTCTCTCTCTCTCTCTCCTCTCTCTTCTCTCTCTCTCTCTCTCTCTCTCTCTCTCTTTCTCTCTCTCTCCTCTCTCTCTTCTCTCTTCTCTCTTCTCTTTCTCTCTTCTCTCTCTCTTCTCTCTCTCTCTCTCTCTCTCTTCTTCTCTCCTTCTCCTCTCCTCTCTCTCTCTCTCTCTCCTCTTCTCTCTCTCTCCTCTCTCTTTCCCTCTCTCTCTCTCTCTCTCTCTCTCTTCTCTCTCTCTCTCTCTCTCTCTCTCTCTCTCTCTCTCTCTCTCTCTCTCTCTCTCTCTCTCTCTCTCTCTCTCTCTCTCTCTCTCTCTCTTCTCTCTCTCTCTCTCTCTCTCTCTCTCTCTCTCTCTCTCTCTCTCTCTCTCTCTCTCTCTCTCTCTCTCTCTCTCTCTCTCTCTTTCTCAAATATTTTGCACTGTCTTTGGTGTAATGTTTTGCTTTGCGGTGCCTGGAAGTGACATGCGACGAGGAAATGTGTGCCTTGGCCTTCAAAATATAGCTCTGCAGCTAGTTTCGTTGCAGCGTAGTGAGTGGCTTGTATTATGCGACAATCAAGCAAAATGTCAGTTTGTATTCTTGTCGCAAAGGATCGGCCATATAACAACAATGTGAAAAACAAAAGAAAGCCACAAAAAAAAAAAAAAAAAAAAAACGTGTCCCACAAGGTTCCAACCAACACACTCTTGACCCGAACTAGTTCAAGTGGGGTCCAACTCGAAGTGGGGGTCATTTTTATAGCCTCTCGCTTTAACGAAAACTTATGATTCTCGAGGGGCTAGAGCCTTGGAGAAATTTCGGGAGGGACTCCAGAAGAAGCAGAAACTTGTGGAGATTATACCGGTACCGGAAAACTTGGGGACAAAATTAAGGAGTGTGGAAAGAAGCCGACCTTTCCACGGAGTCAACGTGCTCTCCCGACACCAGCCCACAACGACTACCCGTTCCCCAGGGAAGACGTCGGTGGAGATGAAGCAGCTCAAGAGGAAGCTGGGGTCTACAAGAAGCTGCAAAAACCCCAAACTCCTCCTCGGGGTGCATCCAGCTCAGCAAATTCGGCAACAACGACACACACAGTCATCAAGAAAGCTCAGGGTCCTGAGGGAGAAACTTTCTCCAAGCAGCCTCGGCCAGCTGCTAACCCACGAGCAGATAGTGAGAAAACGGTGTGTACGGAATATTGGGATGTACCCTATGATCCCATTAACGAAACTATCTTTGGGCACTCCGAGCAATGCCCGCCCCTCGTGCTCGAGGTCATCTGCAAAGCACGACACCTCCAAGTACTCGTGGACAGCAGAGCACCGCACACCGTCTGCGACAAGGCAGTAATCGACCGACTTCGGGAAGAGTACAAGCCTTCAGTATTCTCTGCAATGATGGTGGACGGCAGCAAGTTACAAGTACACGGCGAAGCAGTGTTACACCTATAAATCGGACCAGTGTACTGGAAACCTGCACTCCCCATCACCAACATAAAAGGGCTTGACTGGATCTTCGTGCAGACTTCCTAAAAAGATTCAACCCCGAGATCAACTGGGTAAATCGTACCGCAAGCATCTACAACAATGGGAGGAGAGTCCAGCTACCCAACTGGGACGATACAGGAGATATCCCAGTGGAGACACTCACAAGATTCGAGAAGGATATAAAGCAAACCAACACCAGGTTCCTGACGATAGCAACGGATATGGAAAGCGACAGAGAGAAAACCTCGGAACCTCCACAAAAAATCAAGGAATTACTGAAGTTCCAAGACATTCTTCTCGACGACCTTATGAACGAGCTGCCGCCATAAAGAACGCACCCAGGCCTTCTTAGATGTTGTCATTGCGTGCTATTCCACCAACACGCGATCGTGGAAGGAACAGGTTCGAAGCCGACCTTTCGAGCACCATATCGGCTCAGCCCCACGAGCTAGCCGACATGAAGAAATAGATCGAGTATCTCCTCGCAAAAGAACTCATCCGACCATCTATTTCGCCACACGGTGCCCCAATACTCGTCATGCCGAAACGAGACGGAAGCCTGCGCATGTGCATCGATTACCGAGCTCTCAACAAGCAGACCATCAAGAACAAATACCCAATCCCACGAATCGATGACCTGCTTGACCAGCTTCGTGGAGCCACGGTATTTTCCAAACTAGATATGCGGTCCGGATACTGGCAGATACGAATGGCGGACAATTCCATCCACAAAACTGCTTTTCGAACTCAGTACGGATCGTACGAGTATCTGGTAATGCCATTCGGACTCACCAACGCACCGGCAACGTTCCAAGCCGAAATTAACCATATTCTACGCCCACTCTTGGACGAATGCGTGGTGCTTTACCTGGACGACATCCTCATATACTCACGCGACATGCAGCAGCACGTCCCACACCTGCAACGCGTCTTCGACATTCTTTGACGAGAACGATTCTACGTCAAATTATCCAAGAGCGAATTCGCCCTTGAGAAAGTCCAATTCCTATGACACATGGTGAGCGCTCAAGGAGTTCACGTCGACCCCAAGAAGATCGAAGCCATACGCACGTGGAAGACACCCAAGAACGTGAAGGAGTTGCAGCAGTTCCAAGGCTTCGCTATCTATTACAACAGGTGGCGTACCCACGATTCCTTCCACGTCAACCTCCTTTGACAGTTTGTCGTGAACATGACTGATCTCGACCGTCAACGAGTCTTTCATTCGATCAGACCCGTCTCAGAGCCAACTACCAAACTACAGCAGATCCTTTTCCACCGAATCCGCCGCGACCAAGGTCAATGGGTTTTGGAGTTTCTGGTTCAATTGGTTGACCGTACGTGCGACGATGACATGTGGGTCCCAGCCGCTACCCTCGACAACCACCCGCTGGTGCAGGCCTATTTAGACGATTGGGCTGCCCTAGATGTGGGTAGTCTTGTTTAGAAGGGGGGAAGGTGTAAGGAAAACCTCTTTTCCTTATTGAGCCTTGTGGCTTGCGTTGTGCACCATGGCTCTACGAAGGTGGGATGCGGTGGCGCCGATGCGCTGGCCTCCATCCAGGTGTGGAATAGGCCTTTGATCTTGGCCATACCTTCGGCATGGCACTTACTTAGAGTGGCGGCTAGCAGATTCGCGCCCGCCATAGTCGTTGTAGCGTTGGCACGGCGGCGGGCGGGCAGAGGATCGGGCGGCGGCGTCGACCCTGTTGGTGAAGGGGAGCTTCCCACTTTGCAAGGGTGTAGATAGGAGGTTAGTTATCGAGGGGGGAGGGGAGGGAGGTGTGACGGCTGATATCAATTTAGATGTTTGCAGAGCAATGCTTTATAAGAGCCATGTTCTTTAAAGCCCGCAGCCCAAATTGCAAGCACAGGGTGTTAAACGCCCTGCGTTTGAAAGGGGCAGTTGGAGGGGTTACTAGAACTGAAGTGTGTTGTTTGTCGCCAGTGCAAGTCCCTCGGCAAACACTGAAGTTGAAACAGCCTGCGTTTTGGGACTCGGCAAACACACAGAATTCTCTGATTTCGACGGTCGAGATTTTTCGAGCTCGAATATACAGCTCGGTAATGATTGCAGATTGTCGATTTGAAAACTTTCAGCTTTTTGGGTTTGGGCCATCGGATCGGTCTTACGTTAATTGGATGGCCCAGACTTCAAGGATTTTTACCAAACCTGTTTCAGCAGACAAAACACGAATGCTTCTTATTGGCTGACAGCAACCACCTCTCTAGTTACGACAACGAAATTTCATGCTTCTGCGATATTTTCTCTGAATTCACTAAAACCACTGCTCACGTTCATAAGCGCTGCGTACGAACAATTTGGGCAGCGGGCTTCAAAGTGATAAAAAACGTAGACACACGCATAACATACCTGTATCGTAGGCGTGCCACCACGAGCAACTGCTCCGAGTGGGATGTGCAGGCTCGGATCCGCCGTCAGGTCTGCGGCTCCACCACCCTCGACCACATGCGGCTCCACTACCGTCGTGTTCTTGAGGATCAGGTACACGTAGTTGTACCAAGGCGTTTTGAGCACCGTCCCACCGCCCAAGCCATGTCACCCTTTGTAATGTTGCGGTATTCCATCACCAGCCTCTTGCACGCCGCGACCTCTCGGCACCATTCTAGTTCCAATCCACGAATATGCACGATGGGTTTCTCCCAGTATTGGGAGCCCTCCTTTCCCACCATCGATATGTGGTCTTCGTTAATTAACCAATGGCCGGCGGCAAGCATCGTCGACTCACGTAGCGTCCACTGCGAGCAGGGCTTCCCTTGAGGGACTGCCGCACGCATAGTGCGAGCGGGAGTCGCGGCTGCAGTCGTGCGCCTTGTACTAGGCGCCCCGCGCTTCAATGGGGGTGCGACGGGCGGTGGCACTGGCGCGGAGGCAAACTCGTAGTACTCGTCCTCTTTGTTGCGTTGTCGTCAGCCGCCTTTCCACTGCTCTCATCGGTTGCGCCGATATCATTCTCGTAGCCAGCGCTGGGGCGAAGCTGCGTCTTCTGATGGAGCGGCGGACGAGAGTTGTTGAGCATGGGGCTCTGCTGGTTTGGCGTACTCGCCCACATGTGACGGAGCGGGTGCGATAAGCCCTCCTGGCTTGCAAGCTACCTATTTATGTAGGCCATGTAGGGTATCTCACCTAGGTCAAGGGGGCAAGAGCCGTCGTCTAAGCTGCGCTTGTGTACCATCTTGCGTACTGTCGTATCTAATGCTGTCCTTTAGAGGAATGAGTTATGGGTGGGCCTAGCAACTGTCGTGGGTCTTGTGCACGATATATATGCCTCTCGACAGTTTGCTGTGTTGTGGTTGGGATGTTGGTTTTCCTCCTCTATGGGCTTGTCTGCAATTTTCTGGGTTGTGCTTGCTGTTTCGCGTCGCAACGACGTTTTCCACGCTAGCTGCATGGTTGTGCACTCTGCGCTTTTTCCGAGGGGTGATTGTGAGCGGGGCATTGATTCCATCTTGACTGCTCGACATTTGCGTCACATTCGCTCTCGTTAATGGTCTTGTAGCGGTGCGCATTGGCGCAATGTATGGGTTTGTCCACCTAGCCGCCTGTTACACTCGCATGACGCTGGCGCACGCTCGTTGCGCTTGCGTCGCTCGCCCAAACATGTTTTTCGCACGATGCCAGCTCATTACCCATGATGGTAGATCCGCATTGTAGCATTACACCGATCCAACATTGGTTGGTCTACATCTAACTATGGTTAGATCTAACATCGTAGGAATCCACCCTCATAATCATTTCCAGAAAAAAACATAACAATTTGCAACTTCACTGGCCATAGCGCCTCAATTACTTTTTGAAAATGGGTGCCGCAACTATAGGAGCGTGCACCGACGTCGGAAGCCTGACTCGGGTGAGACAACGTTGGAAGGTATTACCCCAAATTGATGATTTGGAGAGCGAGCAACTCTGACTCGGGGAATATCGGATGGAAATTCTCAGTTCTCGGTAGCAACGTCCTATGCCAGAGGGGTTGTCGTAATAGAGGTGGATTTATTTATTTATTTTTTCAAGAGTACTGGGTGTATTTACTCCCTTATCAGTCCCTGACGCATCTCTCCTTTGAGTGCCACGTAGATCCTCTAACCGATGCGCATATTACGAAGCGGGAAAATGAGTAGGACTATTGCAACTGCACGCATTGGTTGGGTACTAGTTGCTACCACTGGTAGTAGCTCATCCCTGCGGGTCTTTTGTGAGCAGGTGTTTTGCAAGCGCAGCACTTCACAGATCATGGCAAATCCAACGGGCATTGTGACTCTCTTTGTCATGCTCGTCATGGCCTCTGGTGGCGCCAATGTGGCAAGGAACTCCGAGTCAAGCGCAAAGCAAAAGCCGTGAGGCGCGACGCAGAAGCCGGGTGGTGTGGCGGCGAGGGAGTCACTGCCGAGCGCTCTGTGTGACCGAGTGGGCATGGAGGTATCGATTGGCAGGTTATCATTCGGCTTTAAGGTGCTGCACTGTGTGAGCATCACAAGGAAGTTGGTGAGCGTGAAGCGCGACGCGCAGTTGTGGTGGGTGCAGCTGTAAATTTTGAGATGAATCAAACGTCCTACCAAGGACGATTGGCCACGCGGCATGAAGCATGATGCCCATGAGTGGTGGGCACGACACAAGAAGCCACCTCGAAAGACGGCGTCTCGGAAGAAGGGCAAGCAACAGTGAGCTGCCCAACTCGTCGTCTTCTTTGCGCTCAGGGACTCCGCAACAGGCCTCTCGATAACCTAGGGGTCACCCTGCTGAATCCGAGTTTGCCCAAGATCCAACTCGTCCAGGCTGGGTATCTCTAAAATTTTGGATTGTTTTTGCAGGCCAAAGTTTCGACCAGCTTGGAATGTGCCACTCCTGACAATTACAGGGGGGGACATTTCTCTAGGGGTGCGAACGTTTACATTAGATTTTACAGGGTGGGTCCATCCCTTACTCGAAAATTGGCTGTGAGATAATTTTGGCTTGCCTGTCCATGGACGGGTATCGATATTTCGAGTGGGACAAAAGCAGGGCTAGGTAAGAATTTCACCCTTTTTTCCTTGACAAAGCAGTGTAATTACCGTGACTTCTAGATGCTTGCTCTACAATTGTTGATTTCTCATGTAAGCACCAACCAGCTCTTGCACACCACCCAGCTCATCGTCACCATTCCAGCCGAAGGTAGGAGGGCTAGCTATCAGTTGTGCAACTTGGTTGGTGCTCGTGACTCTGCTTGCGAGCCTGGTTCCCTTGTGTGATTAGATTGATTGCTGGCATGAATCCCTTCAATAAAATGCAATGCATAGTATGTAAATTTTTGAAGTGTTCACACTTTCAGAATTGTGTATTGTGAATGTGAAGCTGCTTGTAACGCAATCTTCGGCATCGTCAAGGCTTGCTATTCGCCCTTCTCCAACTATATAATGGGGTTGGAGTTCATTCTTCCTCCACCCACGTTTATCCTTTTTCCCAGCTCAAGTTCAATTGAGTTCCTATCCCGCCTTTTTTGCTCTGCCACTCTGGCGAAGTTGAAAACTCTCCCTCGCGGGGAAGCACCCTCCCAGCTTCTTGCCGATATCCTTATGCATATTCAGGCAGTCATGGCCCCTCCTAGCACCCCGGCCAATCGTGCTGAAAATCCGCCCGTCGATACTCGGAATATTTCGGAACCCGAGAAAAACGCCCGCGAAATGGCGGGTGATCGCGGCAACAAGTGTCGGGCAGACGGCGACCTCGCCCCTTCTGCCCTCGACATGTTGCTGCGTAGTGGCGAGGTCAACCAAGTTGACCTTGGTGACCCATGCACCAGCAAGTAGCAAGCGATGCAAGTGGCGGATGACGCGTCACCTGCTGACGGCAGCGCGCAGAAGGCGCCGAATGGCACGGCGGGCCCCTCGCATCAGAATAAGCGAGTTTGCGGGGCGGCCTCGTCCAGAGCGCCAACACCCGCAGCCCCTTCTTTGACCAACGAGCAAGTGGCGGCATTGCTGGCGTTGTTACGGCAAAACACGCCCGTGGTTACAGCAGCTGCGACTACCATTTCTGCCTCGACTAGAATTGAAGATGCAAAAAAGGAGTCATCGCGCCACGCTCGTCCTTCCAAGATCACCCGCGCCAAGAAGGAACTCGCCGCTACCACGCAAAACAATGCCAAGGAAGACAATGACTCCAACAACTAGGATGGTGAGGCTCATATGCACACTAATTTTTTCGCACCCACCGAGCACCTCCCACCTCTTCCTTCCTCTAACCCCACCATCACGGCATCATCGTTCGACAATGCCAGAGTATGCTCACGATCACGTTTGGTGGAATTCGTGCTCACTCTGCCAAGCATTTACGAACCTTACCCCATTCTTTTGCTGGATTCTATTTGCATATTACTCATGCATAAGCTTACGGTGCTTGGTGATCCCTTCGAATAAGCAGTGACGGACCAGACGGTCCCAACCATGCTCGGGCGCCTGCGAGACGGACTACCCTGGTTGTGAGAGTACGATCCCGTTACACTTCTTTCTCATTTCCATATTTTTTCTCTACCTCATTCTTCTAACTATCCTAATTTGTTTGATATTTATCTCATCCCATTTGGTTTCCTATTCCTGCTTTCTGATTATACTTTGGGTTCTCCTATTATTATTATTATTATATCACCGGCCACGCTCGGGATGTACTGGCGCGCTATATCTAGCGTAATCTTGCCGTAATCCCTTTAAAGCCAATAGCCTCATGTGGCTATACGCAGGGTGATTCTATTTCTAGAAGGGTCTATTCTTTTTGGATAGGATAAACCTAGTTACCTGATGTACTTCGGAAGTATAAAAGCGCCTTGTATCAATCGATAGTGCAACTTTTCCTCGACACAATCGATCCTGAGACACTTGGTCATCAGAGCGTTTCTCACTCAGCCGAGCTCAGCTAAGCAGAAGCAGCGGGAAAACCTGCTTCGCAAAACCGTCAGGGGCGATCAATTCGGCTCCGATTCTGGTAAGCACCAGCTCCGATATTTTTGAATTAACCCCTCCGCGCGTGTTTTGAACAGGATGGCGAACTTTGACAACGCTAAGGTTACCCAGCAGCTCTTCGCGAGAATCGCCGCCCTTGAGGAGGAGATGCGAGCCGATCACGAAGCTTGCCGAAACGAGTTCGAGCGAGTAACTCAACTCGCCGGCGCGCAGCACGACACGACAACGGCGACGACGCAAGGGGAAAAAGTACAGTCGTATCTCGCCGGGCTGAAGACCGAAGTCAAACGACTGGTAGCAGCGACAAATTATGCGAGCTACAGTGACCTCGTTTCGGTAGCAGAGCGGTTTGACATGGTCAATACCGGAGCCCGACGGGTGCACGTCGGCAATACGCGACAGGGCGACCGCTCGGCTAACCCCACGTTCGCGGACCTGATGGAGATCGACAAGTTCGACGAGCGGTCACGTCTGAAAAACACCAACTACACGTGTGATTTTTGCGGGGTGCCGTGCCATCGAATCTTCGATTACAACAAAATGAAAGCTGCACGAGCAGATTATCGGGCACGCAACAGTGGCGAAAATTCTTCGGCCAATCAGAAGACAAAAAACGGAATTCGCCAGTGATTGCGGATCTAGCTGGCGAGAATGAAAAGATCCGAAAGCGGTCGTGGGATTCTGGGAAAATCAACTTAAACGAATCTGATTCGACGCGAGCAGGACGAAATGATGGGGAAAAATCTCCACCCCACGACCAGTCTTCGCCAGAGAAAATCGCCGAGAAAAAATCTGACTCCGCGAAAAAAGGACTCTCCCGAGACGGGGAAACTCCGAGAAGACCCAAGTAATTATAAGGATTCGTTAAAGTTATCTTATAAAGATGCTTTAATGAAAACTTATGATTCTCGAGGGGCTAGAGCCTTGGAGAAATTTCGGGAGGGACTCCAGAAGAAGCAGAAACTTGTGGAGATCATACCGTTATCGGAAAACTTGGGGACAAAATTAAGGAGAGTGGAAAGAAGCTGACCTTTCCACGGAGTCAACGTCCTCTCCCGACACCAGCCCACAACGACTACCCGTTCCCCAGGGAAGACGTCGGTGGAGATGAAGCAGCTCAAGAGGAAGCTGGGGGTCTACAAGAAGCTGCAAAAACCCCGAACTCCTCCTCCGGGTGCATCCAACTCAGCAAATTCGGCAACAACGACACACACAGTCATCAAGAAAGCTCAGGGTCCTGAGGGAGAAACTTTCTCCAAGCAGCCTCGGCCAGCTGCTAACCCATGAGCAGATAGGAAGAAAACGGTGTGTACGGAATATTGGGATGTACCCTATGATCCCATTAACGAAACTATCTTTGGGCACTCCGAGCAATGCCCGCCCCTCGTGCTCGAGGTCATCTACAAAGCACGACACCTCCAAGCACTCGTGGACAGCAGAGCATCGCACATCGTCTGCGACAAGGCAGTAATCGACCGACTTCGGGAAGAGTACAAGCCTTAAGTATTCTCTGCAACGATGGTGGACGGCAGCAAGTTACAAGTACACGGCGAAGCAGTGTTACACCTATAAATCGGACCAGTGTACTGGAAACCTGCACTCCCCATCACCAACATAAAAGGGCTTGACTGGATCTTCGGGCAAGACTTCCTAAAAAGATTCAACCCCGAGATCAACTGGGTAAACCGTACCGCAAGCATCTACAACAATGGGAGGAGAGTCCAGCTACCCAACTGGGATGATACAGGAGATATCCCAGTGGAGACACTCGCAAGATTCGAGAAGGATATAAAGCAAACCAACACCAGGTTCCTGACGATAGCGACGGATATGGAAAGCGACAGAGAGAAAACCTCGGAACCTCCACAAAAAATCAAGGAATGACTGAAGTTCCAAGACCCGACGACCTTATGAACGAGCTGCCGCCATACCGAACGCACCCAGGCCTTCTTAGATGCTGTCATTGCGCGCTATTCCACCAACACGCGATCGTGGAAGGAACAGGTTCGAAGCCGACCTTCCGAGCACCATATCGGCTCAGCCCCACGGAGCTAGCCGACATGAAGAAATAGATCGAGTATCTCCTCGCAAAAGGACTCATCCGACCATCTATTTCGCCATACGGTGCCCCAATACTCGTCACAAGGTTCCAACCAACACACTCTTGACCTGAACTAGTTTAAGTTGGGTCCAACTCGAAATGGGGGTCATTATTATAGCCCCTCGATTTAATGAAAACTTATGATTCTCGAGGGGCTAGAGCCTTGGAGAAATTTCGGAAGGGACTCCAGAAGAAGCAGAAACTTGTGGAAATAATACCGGTACCGGAAAACTTGGGGACAAAATGAAGGAGTGTGGAAAGAAGCCGACCTTTCCACGGAGTCAACGTCCTCTCCCGACATCAGCCCACAACAACTACCCGCTCCCCTGGGAAGACGTCGGTGGAGATGAAGCAGCTCAAGAGGAAGCTGGGGGTCTACAAGAAGCTGCAAAAAAAACCGATCTCCTCCTCCAGGTGCATCCAGCTTACCAAATTTGGCATCAACGATATACACAGTCATCAAGAAAGCTCAGGGTCCTAAGGGAGAAAATTTCTCCAAGCAGCCTCGGCCAGCTGCTAACCCACGAGCAGATAGCAAGAAAAATGTATGTACGGAATACTGGGATGTACCCTATGATCCTATTAACGAAACTATCTTTGGGTACTCCGACCAACGCCCGCCCCTCGTTCTCGAGGCCATCTGCAAAGGACGCCACCTCCAAGCACTCGTGGACAGCGGAGCATCACACATCGTCTGCGACAAGGCAGAAATCGACTGACTTCGGGAAGAGTACAAGCCTTCAGTATTCTTTGCAACGATGGTGGATGGCAGCAAGTTACCAGTACACAGTGAAGCAGTGTTACACCTACAAATCGGACCACTGCGCTAGAAACCTGCACTCCCCATCACCAACATACAGTGGCGGAAACAATTGTCCGAATGTTTTGCATAAATTTGGGTTTTTTTTCTTTAAGACCACTATACATTAAGCGTTAATGTTTAATGGTGGTACGATTTGGGAGGGGCACATAGTGGATGTGTTCATAGCACAAATATCCAGAAGAGTTTATTGGAACTAACTCTTATCCCAAAAGATATACAATGGGTACATACGGACAAATATTTCCAAGCAGAGAGAGCAAATTCCAGAATTGGGTATTTGCTACATAGCCCACCGATCTTTGGCCTTGATCATGACTCGCACCCTCCTATGCATATTACCTACGAGGTTAGTACAAACCTCGGCGGGGAACTTCTTGCACTCTTCCTGGACCCACCATTTAGCATAAGGGGGTGAGCACTAGGAAAATCGCGAAAAAAGTCAGGCGTAGGCTAGAGTATTATGGACGAATTTCGATTGAATTGTATCTTTGAGACTAGCCATGCTGAGGTGTGGCCAAAGATGCAATTAGCCGGTCAGGCCCATCTTATCACGGATCGACTTCATCGTACCATTGTAGGGTAAAATCACGAATAGAGCGGCCAAATCTAGCGTAGACACCACGAAACTGAGGGTAACGTTGCACAATTGAGTGTGCACCCTTGCACCATTAAAAGCACACTAGGGTCTGCGGGTCTAGTCACGGTGCATCAGTCATAGAAGCCAAGACTGTTCTGGAAAATAATCAGGGGTCGGCTGCAATTCGTGGAGTGGACAATTAGTGTTCGAAAGCATGTGATATGGTCAAATGGGACCAACATCAATTGCTTCAGCTCCAATGGCCGCGCGTTTGCCTGGATTTGTGAAGGCACAACCCTGCAACACCACCAAATCAAACAGACGGTAAACCATGGGGACAAGGATCGGTGATGGTGTGGGGATGTGTGACATGTGCGGGGGTGGGGTTCATATGCAAGATTGACGGATGCATGGAGAGGCCCCTGTATGAGGGCATTTTGCATGACGAACTCGAATTGAACCTCCATTTCTATAGCATTTTCTCCTCTGAGGTCATCTCGGTGTGGACAATGACCCCAAGAATTTGTTATGCCTAGTGCATGAATGACTTGGAGAACATGAGTATGTAGCCCTGGAGTGGCCTTCTTTTTCACCAAACCTCAACCTCTGGGGCTTACCTGAAAAGGGAGCTAGCCAACCAGAAAAGGCCTTCCTCTGAAATGCTAGAGCTCTAAGAGTTGGTCCGGGACGAATGGGAGAAGATCCATGCCGAGGTTTGCTCTAGCCTCATCGACAGCTCGCCTAGGAGGGTGCGGGCGGTGATCAAGGCCAAAGGTCGGTGGGCTAGGAACTAGAAATGACTTTTGAAGTTTGCTCTCTCGGCTTGGAACTATTTGTCCGGATGTACCCTTTTATATCTTTTGGCATATAAGGTAGATCTAATGTACAATTCTTGATACTTGTGCTATGAAAACATCCACTATGTGCCCCTCCCAAATCGTACCACCATTAAACATTAAGGCGTAATGTATAGTGGTCTTAAAGCCTAAAAACCCAAATTTATGCAAAACACACGGACAATTGTTTTCGCCACTGTAAGAGGGCTTGACTTGACCTTCGGGCGAGACTTCCTAAAAAAAAACAACCCCGAGATCAACGGGGTACCACAAGCATCTACAACAATAGAAGGAGAGTCCAGCTACCCAACTGGGACGATACGGGAGATATCCTGGTGGAGACACTCGTACGATTCGAGAAGGACGTAAAGCGAACCGACACCGGGTTCCTGGCGATAGCAACAGAGGTGGAAAATGACGGGGAGAAAACTCGGAACCTCCACAAAAAATGAAGGAATTATTGAAGGAGTTCCAAGACATTCTTCCCGACGACCTTCCGAACGAGCTGCCACCATACCGAACGCGCCAATACGAGATCGTGGAAGTACCATGTTCGAAGCCGACCTTCCGAACACCATATCAGCTCAGCCCCATGGAGCTAGTCGACATGAAGAAATGGATCGAGTATCTCCTCGCAAAAGGACTCATCCGACCAGCCACTTCGCCCTACAGTGCCCCAGTACTCTTCACACCGAAACCAGACGGAAGCCTGCGCATGTGCATCGATTACCGAGCTCTCAACAAGCAGACCATCAAGAACAAATACCCAATCCCTCGAATCGATGACCTGCTTGACCAGCTTCTGGAAGCCATGGTATTTTCCAAACTAGATCCGTGGTCCGGGTACTGGCAAGTACAAATGGCGGACAATTCCATCCATAAAAATGCCTTCCAAACTCGGTACGGGTCGTACGAGTATCTGGTAATGCCGTTCGGACTCACCAACGCACCGGAAACATTCCAAGCCGAAATCAACCATATTCTACGCCCACTCTTGGACGAATGCGTGGTGCTTTACCTAGACGACATCCTCATATACTCACGCGACATGCAGTAGCACGTCCAACACCTGCGACGCGTCTTCGACATTCTTCGACGAGAACGATTCTACGTCAAATTATCCAAGAACGAATTCGCCTTTGAGAAAGTCCAATTCCTATGACACATGGTGAGCGCTCAAGGAGTTCACGTCGACCCCAAGAAGATCAAAGCTGTACGTACGTGGAAGACACCCAAGAACGTGAAGGAGTTGCAGCAGGTCCTAGGCTTCGCTAACTATTACAACAGGTTCGTGCCACAATACGCAAAAATCGCAAAACCACTCACGAGTCTGCTGAAGAAGAACACGCCCTATAAGTGGGAACCAAAACATCAGAAAGTCGTGGAGCAGCTGAAACAAGCACTCACATCCGCAGTCGTACTCATCTTGCCAGACCCCGAACGCGACTACGTCATCAAAGCTGACGCTAGTGACTAGGCAGTGGGAGCACTCTTGATGCAAGACCAGGGGAATGGACTGCAACCAATCGCCTACCTCAGCAAGAAACTACACGGGGCAGAACTAAACTACCCGATACACGACAAGGAGGCCCTTGCTATTATCATCGCCTTCAAAACGTGGAGATGTTTTCTCGAAGGACGGAAAACAACCGTTTACACCGACCAATGCAGCCTGAAATATTTGAAGACACAACCAAACATCTCTAGGTGGCAGGTGCGATGGATCGACTTCCTTGAGACACACTTCCAGTATGACATCGTGTACAAGCCCAGCCACAAAAACGAAGCAGACGCTCTCAGTCGGCCTGCACACGTTGCCACAATCCAGGTCAAAGAGATCAGCCCACTCCTCGAGGGACTCTTCACACACGGGTACGCCATCGACTCCGAAATTCCTTTGGCGGCAAAACGACACGTGCTACAGTGGGACAGTGACATCGCGTAGCGGAAGGGATCAACGGAAATCTGGGTACCCAATTACCCTCCTTTGCGCCAATTACTACTCTAAGAATACCACGATGTTCTATATGCGGGACACTTCAGAAGCAACAAAACGCTCACCGGTATTGCAAAGCACTACTACTGGCCCCACATGGCAGACAACGTCCAGCAATTTGTCACCTCGTGTACGACATGTCAACGGATGAAGAGCAGCAAGCAGAAACAGGCAGGACTGCTACAGCCTCTTCCTCTCCAGAAAAGCCATGGCAAGTGGTTCGCCTGGATTTCATAACCGGGTTACCAACTATCACAGGCGGTCATGACGCAATCCTCGTCGTCATCGACAAATTCTCCAAAATGTGACACTTCATCTCGACACACACGACAGCATGGTGAGGGTTTGAGTAACAAAGGACCTGAGGTTGGTAGTGCAAGTGGTGATGTGGGCCCTGCAGAGAGAGCGAATAATGACGGAGATGAGGGTAGTATGGCTGATAGTAGGGGAGATGAGGTTAATAACAGTGAGTGTGACAATAGTGAAGGGGAGGGTAGAGGAGAAGAGCATGATGACAAGTCTGCTACAGTTGCTGCAGGCAATGAGAGCAGTTATGGAGGAGGAGGTGTGGGGGGGGATTCGAGACCTGGTGGGGCTGATGTCGGCAGTGACAGCAAAACAAATAGTGGAAGAGGTGTTGAGGGGGAGTTGAGGGCTGATGGGGCTGATGTCGGCAGTGAGAGCAGTGGGTCTCCCACTCAAGAGGGTGGTGGGAGTGAGGATGATGAGAAGACTGTGGATGACGAGGGAGGGATGGGGAATGATGAGAGAGGGACTGGGGATGATGCAAGTAGGAATGATAAACGGACCGCGAAGGGTGGTGAAGGTGAAGGGGAAGACGGAGAGGAGAGCGAGGGGGGTCAAGGAAAAGGAAATGGGGAGGGAGATGAAGGGGAGGACAGCTGGCTGGCGGGATGGGAAGCCAATCAGGATGCAGGCTAGTTGGAGGAGTCTGGAGAGACAGATGTGACAGATATCCGCGTCGCACCTAAAATCGGAAGCAGTCTCAAATTAACTGATGCTAACCCACTGACAGATGGCCTGCGCCTGGTAAAGGATAGGGAGCAAGCACCATAAGTTATTTGCGTCATTGTGGCCCATAAAAGCGCGCGCTAAAGTTTAGAGTTATCTGTTGTTCTGTACTACAGATTTGGAAGCTTGTATCCGTACCGATTTCAGAACAGCGCATATTTCTGGTTCGACCCGAGCTGACATTCCACGCTACAGCCAATCATACGCGAGCATCTGTGAATCCCCCGTGCCTCGCTGGGCAAACCTTCCTGAACCGCGACACGGAAAATTGGAGCAAGAATGCGTCGAATTCCACCGGGCGAGCAATTATTGGAATGGGAAATGGGAAATGGGAAATGGAATGGGATGGGATGGGATGGGCAATGGGAAATGGGATGGAGTGTGCCGCAGCGCCAAATGCCCGACGACGTTCAGCCATGATTGGGTGGAACTCTTCTGGAGCCGCAATTGTTTTAACTTGTAATTTTAGGAAGTGTGCGCAATGCCGAACGCCCGACAATGTTAGCTACAACCCGCTCACTGAGCGACTCCCGTAGGCATTCCTACCGAGAGAATCCCGCTCTCGGTACTGGGGGTATTTAGGAGCACGTCCTTCTCAGTTCCTGCACTATCTCCTCTACGGAGCAGCGTACTACTAGATCCTCAACCGTACCCATACGATATACTACATACTTCATACCCATACTTCGGTACCTTCTCAGTTCCAGCACATCTCCTCTACTGAACGTACTAGATCCTACCCCTACTACATACTCTCATCAGAGTTCGGTAATCTTCATCAGATCTGATCCCCGCGCGCAGCTGCTACGCTCCTAAACGGGTCTTTCGCAAGCCTGCTTCGAATTCCCGCACGTCAGCTTTACGCTTACTAGCTTCGCGAGCGTCGCTTAGCTTCGCGAGCTTCGTCAGCTGCACCCCCAGGGGTTCTTCGAGTAAGAAACCCGAACTCGGCGCGCAATCGTCGTGGCTGGAAAGTTTCCGTCCATGGCGCCGGCTTTCGCGGCGGTGCTGTTCGCCGTGGCCTTCTACGGCGCGCTCTTCGCGTCGGGTGCGGCGGCGCAGAGTAACTGCGTTGTATCGACTCTCCATGGATACGACGTGGAGGTGCAGCTCACTGACAGGTGCGCTCTCCCTGAATTGCTCTTTTGGTTGGTGTCGCATTCCGTCGATTCTCTTTCAATTCCGACCGAGAGTGGCGGCGCCGCTCACTGAAAGCTGCGCTCAGCTGCTGACGTCAACTACTCCCTAGAAAAACTTTGCAGAAATCGCATCGAGCGACCTCAAATGCGTGGATCGCCCACGCGCCCTACTAGGCAGAAATGCACCTTTGTCGGCTGGACGCCACTCGACCTACCTCGCATTTGTGAACGTTCGACTGAAATTGCATGCTCTTCTGTTTTCTCCCCTTGCCCCCTCGAAAATACGCCCGCCCCCAGTCTCTTTCTCCACTGGAAGACGCCCAACTCGACGGAGCTCCACCTCGCCCTCGAGACGTACACCTCCGGCTGGGCGGCAGTGGGGTGGTCGCCGGACGGCAACATGGCCGGCAGCGACGCGGTGGTTGGCAATCTCGAGGAACGGGCGGCGGACGGCACAGAGGTCAACGGGTCGGGCCTGCCGGCGGCTTATAAGCTCGTGTCGACCTCCGCCGGCGGCCAGGAGCGCGTTGGGGAAATGAGCTCTTTCCTCGGGGGGGCAAAGGGCCGTGCGGTGACAGGCGCCGCGACTATCCTCGAGTGAGTGGCGATTGTAGCAAGAGTGTTGACTGTAACGAGAGCAGCGATCAAGCGAGCTGAAACATCACGATTATATCCTCGAGTGAGTGCGCTGCAGACGTGCCCCGTGCCCTTCTTAAACCTTTCATTCTGGTCCTAGACTGAACTTATAGCCACCTATCGATCTCCCATGGTAATATTTCTGTTTGGCTGCAGATTCACTCGCACGGAGGGATCTGGAAACGTGCCAGTGAAGCTGGCGGGCCCGTCCAACATCATCTTTGCGTACTCCGGGGACAGCTCGAGAACTTTTGGTTATCACGGCCTAACAAGGTACCCAATTCCAACCCCGAATTCTGTGTGCATCTAGCTTCACCTGTTGCGCCACCGTCACTCGCAACCCTCACTCGCCACCCTCACTGGCCACCCCCACTTCCCACCCTCACCCTGCTGTGCCATAGGCATAAGAGTGTTGCAGAGCCTCTAAGGCATATATGAGTTGTGCAACGCGTTGGTTTTCTGTGGTTTCAGGGGATCCACGGTACTTGATTTCTCCTGCACCGTGGGAGGGGCACCGATAGAAGCACCCGGGAGCGAGCCAGCACCGATCGAAGCACCCAGGAGCGAGCCAGCACCGATCGAAGCACCCGGGAGCGAGCCAGCACCGATCGAAGCACCCGGGAGCGAGCCAGCACCGATCGGAGCACCCGGGAGCGAGCCAGCACCCATCGGAGCACCCGGGAGCGAGCCAGCATCCGTCGGAGCACCTGGAAGCGAGCCAGCACCCGTAGGAGCACCCGGGAGCGAGCCAGCACCCATCGGAGCACCCGGGAGCGAGCCAGCACCCATCGGAGCACCCGGGAGCGGGCCAGCACCCATCGGAGCACCCGGGACCGAGCCAGCACCCATCGGAGCACCCGGGAGCGAGCCAGCACCCATCGGAGCACCCGGGAGCGAGCCAGCACCCATCGGAGCACCCGGGAGCGAGCCAGCACCCATCGGAGCACCCGGGAGCGAGCCAGCCCCCATCGGAGCACCCGGGAGCGAGCCAGCACCCATCGGAGCACCCGGGAGCGAGCCAGCACCCATCGGAGCACCGGGGAGCGAGCCAGCACCCATCGGAGCACCCGGGAGCAAGCCAGCACCCATCGGAGCACCCGGGAGCGAGCCAGCACCCATCGGAGCACCCGGGAGCGAGCCAGCACCCATCGGAGCACCCGGGAGCGAGCCAGCACCCATCGGAGCACCCGGGAGCGAGCCAGCACCCATCGGAGCACCCGGGAGCGAGCCAGCACCCATCGGAGCACCCGGGAGCGAGCCAGCCCCCATCGGAGCACCCGGGAGCGAGCCAGCACCCATCGGAGCACCCGGGAGCGAGCCAGCACCCATCGGAGCACCCGGGAGCGAGCCAGCACCCATCGGAGCACCCGGGAGCGAGCCAGCACCCATCGGAGCACCCGGGAGCGAGCCAGCACCCATCGGAGCACCCGGGAGCGAGCCAGCACCCATCGGAGCACCCGGGAGCGAGCCAGCCCCCATCGGAGCACCGGGAGCGAGCCAGCACCCATCGGAGCACCCGGGAGCGAGCCAGCACCCATCGGAGCACCGGGGAGCGAGCCAGCACCCATCGGAGCACCCGGGAGCGAGCCAGCACCCATCGGAGCACCCGGGAGCGAGCCAGCACCCATCGGAGCACCCGGGAGCGAGCCAGCACCCATCGGAGCACCCGGGAGCGAGCCAGCACCGATCGGAGCACCCGGGAGCGAGCCAGCACCCATCGGAGCACCCGGGAGCGAGCCAGCACCCATCGGAGCACCTGGGAGCGAGCCAGCACCCATCGGAGCACCCGGGAGCGAGCCAGCACCCATCGGAGCACCCGGGAGCGAGCCAGCACCCATCGGAGCATCCGGGAGCGAGCCAGCACCCATCGGAGCACCCGGGAGCGAGCCAGCACCCATCGGAGCACCCGGGAGCGAGCCAGCACCCATCGGAGCACCCGGGAGCGAGCCAGCACCCATCGGAGCACCCGGGAGCGAGCCAGCCCCCATCGGAGCACCCGGGAGCGAGCCAGCACCCATCGGAGCACCCGGGAGCGAGCCAGCACCCATCGGAGCACCCGGGAGCGAGCCATCTTCCATCGGAGCACCCGGGAGCGAGCCAGCACCCATCGGAGCACCCGGGAGCGAGCCAGCTTCCATCGGAGCACCCGGGAGCGAGCCAGCACCCATCGGAGCACCCGGGAGCGGGCCAGCACCCATCGGAGCACCCGGGAGCGAGCCAGCACCCATCGGAGCACCCGGGAGCGAGCCAGCACCCATCGGAGCACCCGGCAGCAAGGCGGCACCGATCGGCACAGCTCGTCGTCTTCTTCGTGTGCATGGGCTCCGCGGTTGCTGATTTCCCTTGCAAGGCACTACCCAGCCCGTCGCCACGACCCCCCCCAGCTGATCAACATGCCTCCTGCCTAAGGCACGAGGATTGGCTCTCAGCCGTGCATCTTGGCTGGTGTCCGTGGCAGTGCTTGCTGGCCTGGCTCCTTCTCTTTTGCAAGTAGCCTTGGTGATGGCGTGCATGCCTCATGCGATCAACCTTGCCAATAAAATGCATGCCCATGTTTTCTAGTGATGCCTCAATAAAATATATTTGTTCCAAATGCATCTTTTGCAGCAGGACAAGAGCTCCACCACTCATGCAGCCTATATGGTTAGCAGTTTGGTGTGATGATTGTGTGCTGTCATGCTCACCTTAGGCCACATAAGATATAGTTTGAACAAGCCTCCATTTTGAAATCATAACGAGGCTCAAAACGGCTTGGTTGGGTGTATTAAAGCCAAGCCGTGGTATAGAGTGGTGGCGATAAGAACTTATGAAAACAAAAATGTAAAATCACACACCCCCTTCTGTGATGCTTGCGTGAAAATACAGTTTCAACGAATGGACTCATAGTGTAGCCCCAAGACCAATGTAAGGAAAAGCCCCTTTCCTTACTGAGCCTCGCTAACATCGAGTTCGGGCCTGACTTTCGGAAGTCCAGGCCAGGGTCCTCGCTAGGTTTTGAACCAGGGCTTGTGTTATGTTTTTTAACAGCTCTGGCGCTCAGGGCCGTAGAGAGGCAGGGGAGGTGGCGGTGAAGGAGGCGCAGGCGGGGGGACGGGGAAAGGAAGACCGAGGAGGCGAAGGGCCGGAATGGTGGCGACTGCTGCTGCTGCGGCTCCACGATGACACTAGAACCTCCAGCTGCACCACATCTACCTTCGAGAAGCTCCACGCCAAGACACCCTCAACGCGAACCCTCTCTAGCACCGGTGCCACCCCATGACCCGTGGACCCCTGCGGCAGCTGCTGCTGCGGCGGCGACGACTGCGGCTGTGGCCGCAGCGGCGACTGCTGTGGCTGCGGCTGCAGCGTTGGCGATGGTAGCTGCTGCTGCGGTGGCGACGATGGTTGCTGCGGCGACAACGGAGGAGGATACACTGGGGCAGAGACCGGTGGCGAGGACGGAGCCGCGCGACCACCAGAGTCAGACAACTCCTCGAGCGGGACAACCGACGGGAGGGGAGTGACGTGAGACACACCAGATGAGGCAGGACGGGGGGGGAGAGGAGCAGAGGCTACCAGGGGAGCGGGAACCAGAAACAGGGGCGGGAAAACCACGAGACCTCTGTGAGGAAAGTGATGGTAGAAGGAGACAGACTTGTCCTAGGTGACGTTACGCGAGTGAAAAAAGCGGTGGGACGACGGGTGGTAAAAGTGCTTGTCGGATGAGTCGAGGGGGAAACCTAGGAAGACACAAGGGACTGTGCGGGCAGTGAGCTTGTCTGTGCCATAGGCACGAACGTGAGCCAGGCAACCCCGGACGTGGAATGCAGACGCGTCACCAGGGAACCCGGTCCAGAGAAGGGTCGGCGAAAGCTGCGGCCGCTGAGAGTGTGGCCACGGGTTAAGCTGGTGAGCGGCGTAGTGAAAGAACGGCCACAGAAAATGGTGTGCACTGGCTTGGATCATCGATTTACGAGCCACCTCCATGACCAAACAGATGTGTCGCTCAGCGACCCCATTCTGCCGCGGGGATTCCGGCGGGGTGTACGACTGGGTGATGCCCTCCGCACGACAGAACTGGCCAAGCCGACCTGAGGCAAACTCGCCACCACGGCCGGAGTGGAGACACAGCACAGGAAGACCGCGGTGGACGCATGCACCTACGACCCATGGGATAAGAACGTCAGGCACGTCGACCTTCTGCTCTAGAGGAAACACCGTGGTGTAGCGTGTGTAGCGCTCTCGACGCGGCCTAGGGACGGGGGATGGGCCCCAGACGTTCAGGTGCAGGGTCAGGAGTGGCGCAGTGGTAGGGCGAGGCGAGGGGGAGTGAGGAGCATGGCGCAACTAGCTCTCGATGCAAGGCGTGCACGGGGGCACAGGCGAGGGAGGGAGGGCACGGAGCGACGCAGGGAGACCTAGGACAAGACCATACTGGGACATGTGACGCAGATGAGGGAGTGCAGGGTGACCTAGGCGATGGTGCCACAGAAGCGACGGGTGAGTGAGCGACCGACACGAGTAGGCTGCAGCGACCTGAGTAGACGCAGGCACCTGGGGGGGCGCCCTCACCAAGGGGGACTTGGTGTCGAGGGTAAACATGCCAGACCGAGGGTTCCGGGGGAACGTGCTGAGGGGGTATTTGTGGCGTCGTCGGTAGAGGGAACGTAGTGGTGACGCCGAGGTCCTGAAGACAGCAGACACCAACTGCCGTAAGGGAGGGGATGTGTAGGCCCGTAAGGGAGCTTGAGGGAACCGCCGGACAGGGAAGGGTAGTGGAGCTACGAGCAATTACAGGGCCCAAGGAGGGGCCAGCAAGCGCGACAACAGCAGGGGCGGCAAGCGGTGTGAGCTCAGTATGGTCGCAGAAGAAGCAGGTAGACGTGCCGAAGTCAAACGTGAAGGAGAGCGAAGCGGAAGCTGCAGCCAGCGGAGGAGAGAGTGTGGAGCCTAGACTAAACAAAGCAGAAGTTCCTACGCTTGATGCAGCAGGGGAGTCTAGATTAGACCCTTGTGGCACACATAAACTCGGCAACACAGGGTAATAATGTCTGGTCACAATAGAGGCATCTGCATGCAGGGAATGCAAAGCAAAACAAATCTGATCCATGTCTAACTCAAAAACAGGCACACCACGACGCACAAGACTGAACAAGTTGGGGAGGTCCGACGTTGGGCCGAAGCGGCGGCAAAAGAGGTCGTCGAGGCAGCAGAAGCAGCAGGTGGTAGGGTGCAGACTACCACACACAGTGCCACGGAAGGGGCCGGTCTAGAGCTGGTACTGGCAACCCCCAGCGCTGGAGTTGCCACCCGACACCGAGCTGCGAGGGCCGCCATCGCGGCCACCACCACCAGAGGCACCGGGCCACCCCGGCGGGAGGCGGCCCCATGACTGCTGCTGCTGCTGCTGTGGCGGCTGCTGCTGCTGCTATTCGGGGGCACCAGCCCCGGTCCCCTCGTCGGAACCGCTGTCCCCGCCCCCACTTCCACCACCCCCACCACCCGGACCTCCACCACGCCCCTCCTTGGGGCGGCGGCCCCTATGTTGACGCGGCTGCACTGAGGCCGCAGAGGCGGTCTCAGCAGCAGGGGCTTTCTCGGCAACAGCGGCAGAAACGTCAGCGTAAGTGGACAGGGAGGGTGCACAGCCCTAAAAGATAGGGACTGCCACTGTACCACTCGATTGAGCGATAGTACGCTGGCGAGTCGCCATCTCGGATAGGGCAGTGACAAAGGCGGTAAGGGTGAGGTCACCAAGGTGCTGACTAAGGAAGTGGTCACGGGCAGTGGCTAAGTGGTCCGGAAGGTGCGTGGCTATGAGGTAAAGGGTAGCACACAGTGGTGGCGGGAAGGTAGTGAGCTGGGCCTCATTGCTAGTGGCGCGGTAGCTAGCCTCGAGTGCACGGGGACAGTGCACTCGAGCGCCCCTGAGTGCCTAGGTCAGCGACAGTGGGGAAGGCCGCTAGGTCAGGGAAAAGCATGGGGAGGGTCTGGCGGCCAGGCGCAGCACATCGTCCACCATCACACGTCCTCAGCGAAACGGCGGCACGGCGATACGGCGGCACGTCGACACAGTGGCACGACGACGCGGATCCAAGGCGCCACGGCGGGAACGAGAGCTGGCGCAAACGGGGCCAGTGGGGCGCAAGGGACCAGCAGGGCGCTAGGGGGCCAGCGGGGCAGGAACGGGGCCAGCAAGGTGCACAGGGCCAGCAAGGCGCACGGGGCCAGTAAGGTGCACGAGGCCAGCAAGGGCGCACAGGGGTCAGCGGGGCACGACGAAACCGGCGAGGCATGGCACTAAGGCTAGGGCGTACGGGGCGGACGGGGCCAGGAGGGCGCTACCGGGCCAGCGGGGCGCTAAGGAGCCTGCAGGGCGTACGAGGCCGGCGAGGCACACGGGGCAAGTGAGGCTCGACAGAGCCAGCGTGGCGCTAACGAGGCCTGCGAGGCGCACGAAGCTAGCAGGGCGCAACGGGGCTAGTGGGGCGTACGGGGCCAAGAGGGCGCTAACGGGCCAGCGGGGCGCCTAGGGGCCAGCGGGACGTATGGGGCCAGGAGGGTGCTAACGGGGCATGCGAGGTGCATGGGGCTAGCGGGGCATACGAGGCCAAGAGGGCGCGAACGGGCCAGCAGGGCGCCTAGGGGCCAGCGAGACGTACGGGGCCACGAGGGCTCTAACGGGTCAACGGGGCTCTTAGGGCCAGCGGGACGTACGTGGCCAGGAGGTGTTATAATCACAATAGGCTTAGATGTGCCTATAATGAGAGATAGAGAGCACAGTCGGATTTCCGTCAGACGGCTTCAAATATTGATAACGATCTGGTCTTTGAATCAAACTGTGATGTGTAAGTTGGATCTAGAGCGCGTTGCTGTCGTCTATCAGTAGCAAGTTGAATCATGAAATTCCATGAAGCTTTGACGACGCTATGGCAGTTTTACTGGCAGGAGGTATAGCAGCCACTATAGTCTTGGAAGTACAAACTTAGCAAGAAGAGTTCGAGAGGGAGATGGTTCCCAGCCTCTACATACCCCAAGAGCCGAGGTCCAGGTTGGTGGTACACCACCACAGAGTCCCCAACCATGAAGAGTCTCGAAACCAACCCTCCAAGGGGCTATTCCAAGTGAATGTAACACTTCACGAAATAACTTTACTATTTTCACTATTTAATATTTATCCGCGTCCCTTGGGCTTGAAATCTTGAGCTCTTGTTCTTGGATCTGCAAGATAAAATCACCATCAAAAGTGGCATTCGCCATCAAATCGACCGCGCCCACGCCGTAGCCATTGTTGTTGTTGTTGCTGCCATATCCTCCATTACCACGGCCTCCATTGAAGTTACTGCTGCCAAATCTTCCTCCTCGCCCTCTGCCCCTTCCACGGCCGTGCCCACGGCCCATGCTTGCAACTCCGGCACCATCGGGACCCGCCAATTCGCGACGGCGGAAATCTTCTTGTAAGATTTCCCGCTTCACATCTTCGAGTGAGAGACGGGGCAGATCTCGATTAAGGTTGATGATGAGCGAGGACCATGAGTCCGAAAGTAAGGCCAGCAGCTTGGTCTTCTTTTGAAGGTCACTGTAGTTCAGGTCAGCTCCTTTGAGCCGTGTC